TGCCGGGAGAAGGCTGGGAAAGACTTTGCTGAGTACTTCTTTGTGGAGTACAAGAACCAGACACCAAACTGCATCACCCGCTGCATGCCTGGATTCAATACCTCCATGAACTGCAACTTTGGGAAGTGCAAACTGGAGCTCAGTGGCCCTCGATGCTAGTGAGTGTCCCACCACCCCACCCTAGCCCAGCTGCTCTCCTCTCTGCCCTTTGTGGGGACCTCATTTCCTTAAGACTTTACTAGAGGTCAAGATCACGGAGTGGGTCCTGAACTTTTCTGAATGCAGCCATCCACAAAGGACACGCGTGGCCAGAGCCCCAAGGCCAGATCCAGAATGGGCCGAGAATGGTTCAGAGCTGCCCTCCTTTCCCTAGGGTTTGTGTCAAGCAAGGCTGAGAATAGTGTCAAGCTCTGAAGAAGCAGAAGGAAGGGCCTCAGCCTCAGGAATCTCTCAGTCAGACACGGTGGGCAGAGCCTTGCTTCCAGGGAGAGGCCAACGTCTCTTGCTTGTGAAATGCTGATAGAATGCCCACATGGGGAGAATAGAAAGCCTATAAAAGCCAAGTCATGGGAGTAGAAAAGCCAAAAAAAAAAAAAAAAAAAAAAAGACATTACCCGTTGAAACTTAACCAAAAAGAGACTAGCTGGGACACCAGATATGAGGAAAGAAGGCACACATATGCAAAGGCCTGAGTAATTATCCTGGGAAGGCTTCCTGGAAAAGGAGTTTGTATGCTTTTGAGGGGAGGAAAGAAACAAGGTTCAGAAAGGGCATCTCTAGGGAGGAGAAGTTCCTTAAGAGGTAGGGTACATGCTCTGGGTCAGGCATAGGGAGTTGTTCTTACTGATAAAGAGGGAAGCTGAAAATGAAGATGGTTAATGTGTGGGCAAGAGTCTCTATTGGGTTCTCAAGTTCCTGGGTGCAGCCCAAGGAAGCTCCAGAGTTGGTCCAACTGTTCTAGGTCTTGGGTTCTGAAACCTAAAGCTGGGTATTGGGCCTATTTAAGGCCCACCCATAGAAGCTAGACTTTGTCTCTGTTCATCCCCTCGAGGCTTCTTGCTCTGCACCCCAGCAATCTCTTCTTCACCTTCTTCTCATTAAGCACCCAGAGGGTCGGGGCCAGTTCTGAGGCTGGGGGACTGCAGACATTGGCTGGCCTTGACTCTAGATGGCTCCCTCTCCCCAACCACTCTTTTTCTCCATCTCAGCTGCCTGACCACAGACACTGACTGGTACAGTGGGGAAAACTGTGAGTTCAGCACCAAGAAGAGCCTGGTTTATGGAATCCTGGGGGCAGTGGGTGCAGTGATGCTGGTCGCCCTCATCACCCTCCTGGTGTTCGTGTTCCTCTCCAAGAGAGAGGTGAAAAGGTGAGCCACTGCCACCACCTCTTCCTTGCCTGATCTTTAATCATTCCATCCTTGTCTTTAATCATTCCACCCTCCGAGTAGACAGTAGGGGAGCTGAAAGCAGGGACAAAGTCAATTGCCAGGTCCTTGTATTCATTCTCCACACATAATGAGGTCTCTCTGCTGTTTCTGTCAACAGGCAAAAGTCCAAAGTGACTCAGTTGTACAAGTGGCATGAAGAGAATGGTGGACCAGCCCCTGGGACCTTTCAAAACATTGGCTTTGACATCCGTGAAGGTATTAGAAATCCTCAGTGGACTTGAAATATTTCTAAGTGTGGAGACACACATAGGAGGCATATGGGAGGGGCTTGAAGAGGCAAAGAGGAAAAGCATTTTCATCTCCAAAATCTTTGGTTCCACATCTGCAACCACCACTGGCCCTGCAAGTCCCTGGATGGGGCACAAGCATGGGCACAGCATAACTAGACCATGGCGGGGGGTGGAGGGGTGTCACCATTTATCTGATGATCATAGATTTCTCCAGAGCACAAAACTATGCTTATGTGGAAATGCGTAGGAGGGTATGAGCTCATTAACAGGTGGATCCACTTTATGGATCATAAAGTGATTAACTATAGATTGTGTTAGCTTAAATGTACATGTTAAAATGTCTAGAAATCAAATCATTAAATTCTAAAGAAGGAAAAAATGAAAGGAGAACATTTTTAAAAGTTGTCTTTAAATTCTAAAGAAGGGGAAATTGGAATGAAGAAAACATTTTAGTCAATCCACAAAAAGACAAGAAAGAGGAAACAAAAGAAGGAAAGAGCACAAAATAGCACACAATAAAATAGAAAATAATCCAACTATATCAATAACTACAATAAACATAAGTGGGATAAACACTCCAATTAGAAGAGTGGATTTTAAAAAATCTATTCATTGAGGATGAAAGGCACATAAAAAATAGAAGCAGAGAAAGGAGGAAAACAAAAGGATGAAAAAAGGCAAAAGAGAGAAATACTAATCAAAAAGCCATTGTTCTATGTATTACTTTGTGGGCAAATAAAACTTAAAGAATTAGTAGAGATAAAAATAATTGATATCTACTGGGAAATAGTTTAATTCATTAAGAATAGATAACAAGTGTAACTCGTGAGCCCTATTCAAAATATATAAAGCAAAAATTGACAAAACTATAAGAAAAAAATGATGAATCCACCAACATGGTAGAAATTTTTTTAAAAAACCTCTTTTAGTAATTGATTAATCAAGCAGGCAAAAAAAAATCATCAAGGATATAGAACTTTCATATAAAATAAATAACAACCTTAACATAAAAATTGTCATAGACAGACTGCATTCAACAACTGGAGAATATACATTTATTACAAAAGCGTATGGGAAACTTACAAGAATTGCCAAACACAATAACAGAAAAAGTCTCAAAAAATTTTTAAAAATTTTAAATCAGACTATGTTATCTGACCACAATGCAAGTGAGTTAGAAAGCAATAACAAAAATATTTCTAGAAAACAGAAACAAAAATCTATGCCTCTGGAAAAATTTTTTAAGTTTGTAAATAACTCATGGACCAAATAAGAAATCGTAATGGAAGTTAGAAAATATTTGGATCTGAATGATAATAAAAATACTTGGTATCAAAATATGTGGGATGCATTACAGCTGTACTCAGAAGGAAACATAGATCCTTAAAACACTTGTATTGGTGAAAAAAAAATTGGAATTTGTTGGGCTAACTTGTCAACTTAGGAAGTTAGGAAAAGAACAACAAAATAACTTCAAAGAATGCAGATGTAAAAAATATGTTTAAGAAGATAAGAGCAGAAATCAACAAATTAGAAAGTAGAAATGCAATAAAAAGAGTCAAAAAGTAAAAAGTTAGTTATTTGAAAATAATGAAATTGACTAATTTCTGCTTACAATCAATGAAAAGAAAAAGGTGAAGAAACAAACAGTATCAGGAATGAGTAAGGAAACATAACTATGATTGCAGCAGCTATTTAAAAGATGAGACTATTATGAACATCTTCCAACCAAAAAATCTATAAACTTAGGCGAAACTCTAAAAATCACAATAGTCTTAAAATTGTTTTTTTTTTTAAATGAATCAGGCTCATATGATTTTACAAGTGAATTCTACCAAATATTCACAGAGCAGAGACTGATACAAACTCATTCAGAAACTGGAAAAAAAGAGAAATTCTCTCCCATTCATGTTATGAGCCCACCATAAATGTACAAAATCAGACAAAGATAGTACAAGAAAGTAAATTTAAAGATAAACAAAAAATTAGCATGCCAAATCCAGCAGTTATAAAAATCACAATGTTGAATGTATTCTAGAAAACAGAGTTAGTGCAAGATTAGAAAATCTATTTGTAAATTCACCACATTAGCTGAATAAAAATAAAAATATGATCACCTCAATGGATGCAAAATAAAACATTTAATAAATATCCATAACTGCTCATCATACAAACTTATCCAACTAGGAATAGAATTTCCATTTCCTGGTAAAAGTATCCACACAAAAACCCAAAAACCATTCTTAGTGATAAAACATTAAAAGTCATTCAATTAAACCAGGGATTGGGAAACTTTTCTACAAAGGGTCTGATAGCATATATGGGCTCTGTGGGCTATATGCTCTCTGTCATGGCTACTCAACTTTTGCTGATGCAGCATGAAAACAGACATTGACAATATATAAATGAATGAATGAGTGTGGTTGTGTTCCAATAAAACTTTTTCAACCACTTTTTAAAAATCTTAGCTTGTGGGCCATATAAAAATATGTGGCAGGCTGGATTTGCCTCGCAGGCAGTAGTTTGCCAACCCCTGCATTGAACCAGGGCAAGTTACAGGTGCCTTCTATCATTAATTCTATTAATCATTGTCCTGGGTGTCCTAATCCGTATAATAAAAAAATAAAGTATTTAAAGATTGGAAAGAAAAACATAAAATCTGTCAACTGCTGATGATGTGATTGTCTTACATAAAACCCAAAATAATGTTAAATCACTAAAATTAATAGAATTTAGCAAAGTTGCCAGATATAAGATCAATTTTTACAGGGTCAATTGTATTTCTATGCACAGCAACAAATAGATAACTTGAAAATACCCTTCATACGGCACCTAGAAATATATCTAGCAAAGGATGTTTAAGATTTTTCAGTGGAAAATGATAAAACTTAATTTAAAAACATTATAGAAGTCCTACATGAAAGAAAAGCCATATCTTCATGAATTGGGAAAGTCAATATCTTAAAGCCATCAAAGGGTGCCCCAGTCCAGGCCAAATCTTAATGGACTTCATGAACTTGAGAAACTGCTTACAAAGAGCTTATGGTTTTTCTTTGTTGAATTTTTAAATGTGATCGTTCACATTTTCTGAGAAGCAATCAAATTATTTGCTTAGATCAGGTAATTTAGGTAGCCTCTCATGTTTGCAATAGTTTTCAGTTTCCTGGGAAGTGGGGATGCACCCCTCACCCTGCACTGGTTGGGATTAGAGGGAGAAATGAGAGCTTGTCTTTCTAGTCATCTGCTTCTGTGGGTTTTCTCTCTGTCTAGAACAAGAGGACCTCAAACAACTGGACTACATCTATAATAACTTCCAGCCCTCCCTGGACCACATAGACTCTAACACAAAGGTAAGAACAGCCTGCATGAGATGCTCACCTCCCCTTTCTCTGAGACCCCATCTCCCCTCTTACCATATTAGGATCTTCAGGAAAGCAAAATCATGTTTATGTTTTGTTAGTCCAGGTGATCATCCAGGCCTACACTACTGGGAAATAGATATAATTCAGGGTTGTAGCAGGTGGGGAAGAAGGAGAGATAAGCAGCAAGATGGGATCTACCTTTTCTAGACCTCTGAGGCTTCAGGCTCAGAGGTTTGCTTCTGCACTTTTAAGTATGTCTTTGGTGGCCAATTTATTTAGTTATTTTAATTTTCAAACACAGATACAAGTCAAAATGATAGTGCAGTAAATATCTATATACCTCACCTAGATCAACAATATTTAACATGTTGCCATATATATAATGTGTATACACATCAATTTTTACTGAACCATTTGGAAGTCAGTTTCAAACATTATGACATTCAATTGCTAAATACATCAGTACACGCCTCCAAATACTATTATTACACCCAATAACTTGATAATAATTTTATAATATCAACCAATATCCACTTTCCAATTAACTCAAGAACACCTCTTATTATTAGTTTCTTAAATGTGAATACTACAAATTTCACTCACTGACTTCTGGTGTATTTCTCTGGTCTTTTAACCTACAACTGGCTCCTATATTTAAAAAATATATTGGTTTTTGTAAGAATCTAAGATGGTTACCTTAAAGGTTGTCTCACATTCTGGATTTGTCTAATTATTTCCTCATGGTGTGATTTAACTTGTCCCTCAATCATCTGTATTTTCTATACACTGGCAGTTAGGTCTAGAGGTTTGATTATGCCCAGCTTAATCATTTTTGTTAAGTATAAACCATAGATAATGGTGTTGTATCACCTCAAGAGGTACATAATGTCGGGTTGTCCCACTATGATTGATACCAGGATAGGTCACTTTGGTAAGGGGTGACCACTCCTTGATTAACACTTTAACTTTATTTTAACAGGATAGATATTTGAGGGAAGAAGAAATACCCTCAAAGTGTTCATATCTCACAAGAAGTGTGGTTGGCTTCAGGCAACTATGTTCCCTAGAGAGAATCTTTTTGTAAAGATGAAATCCCTAACCAGGACCCCTTTCAACATACCTAACTCAGGGGTGGGATATGGTAGAGGGACACAGTTGATTTGTACTAGACTCCAAGTAATAGAATAAGTTCTAAGATGAGTGCTTCCCCTTTCCCAAGACTCTTACGCTTCCAAATTCCAGGTTCCTGATGGGCAACCCTCATTTGGTTTTGTCTCTTTTTCCAGATCAAAATTCAGAGGCCTCAGGTGTTGATGACATCGATTTAAGGCAAAGACAATTTCATATAGACCTGTAGAGTTTGGGAATGAGGAGATCTCAGTTCAGCTGAGCTTGGCAGAACATTTCCCCATTGAGAGCATTCCACAGCAACCTGATGAGAAATAAGGAGGAAGAGGAAGGAGACCACAATTCTGAGAATCTCTGAGATGGGAATAGCATGGGAGCTCTGACGGGCTTGTCATAATCTCAGCATGTCCCTCCTGCTTTTTCTGGGGATGTTCGTGCTCTCTCGTGCCCAGCTTCAGCACCAAGGACAGCATCCTAATCAACGGGTTTACGATGGTGATGGGTCCAACACTGGATTGCACCTTACGTTATACAAAATGCTCTTGTAAGATTTATTGCATCCCTTCTTCATCAAAAACACGTTTTTTAATACACAGCATTTTAATTTGAGTATATAGAATTATGAATATTTTTAAAGTTATTTTTATCTACAGATTCTGTTTTTTTGTTAGTCAATATAATCATGTATTTCTAACAATTAAAAACAGCAAAAGCAATTTCATTAAATTTCTCATGGTTCACATACCATTCCCCAGTCAACACCCTATACAAGCTCCTGTTTCTTACCTGTTAGGTTTTCTCCTCCTCTCCTTCAGGATGTAGGGTCTGGTGAATTTGACCTCGAGATGACAAAAGAGAAATCTGCAGCCAGAAAGAGTGCCATCCTCTGACCTTCCTTGGCATCACTTGCTGGCCACTGGGGATGCCATGAGGCAGGACCCACACACAATTATTTACTCACATGACACAGGGACTCACTTCCTTCTGACAGAGAACCAAATTTTCCTTCTGGAAATGGGCTCCTGTTTCTTTCCATAGATCTGAAGTGATGGAGCCTTGGGTTCTATTTCCAGCTTTCCCATTAACTCCGTGGATTAAATTTGGGAAAATTATATTTGACCATTTGGACTCAGTCTTGCCTTCTGCTGAAAAAGGACTAGGTTGTTTTTAAAGTTCCTCTCTTCACTATCATTTTTTAACATTTTTAAGATGCTTTATTACTATTCCCGCCATGCAGCTGGAGATTCATTTTGTTCTGCAAGGTCTCATCCACAGGCCAACCTCTTAAACCTTAACCTAAGAAACAGCCTAGGCTCTGCTGCCCCCTAACGGACACTTAGAACATCTGCAGGCACCGTTCAGTTTCTCAGAGCCCTTCCCTCCTGGCCTTCTCTATTAGAGATCTTTAGCCTTCACTTGATTCATTCCATATTTGCCTTCAAAATCTCCAGTTCCTAAAACTGTGCTGTCTTAGTCTGATAAGTCTTCTATAACTGAATGCCATAGTCTGGGTGGCTTATAAACAACAGGCATTTCTCATAGTTCTGGAAGCTGGGAAGTCCAAGATCACAATGTTGACAGATTTGATAAGCCCTTGCTTCCTGGTTCACAGACAGCTATCTTTTTTTTTCTGTCCCCACATGGTGAAAAGGGCAAGGGAACTCTCTTAGGTGTCTTTTATAAGGGCACTAATCTCATTCAGGAGGGCTGTGCCCTCATGACCTAATAACCTCCCCAAAGGCCCTTCCTACAAACACCATCACACTCAGAATTAGGTTTCAACATATGATTTTGACAGAACACAAACATTCAGTCTAAACATGGGCTGAATCCAGGCATCTTCACTTCAGAAGTGCTTCCCACAGGCTCAGGCATCAGTGGCCATGAGAGGGGCATTAAAAAGGGCTATAGAAGAGTGCCTCCATAGTATAGTGGTTAGCATGTCTGCTTTGCATGCAGAAGGTCCTGGGTTCGTGCCCCAGGTGGAGCCACGGACCATACCCTGGTTATGCCAGGCCCGGGGTACATGACCCAAGCCCGTGGGAGGGGACACCCGCCTTCAGAGATCTAGTCCTTAAGGGGAAACAGCAACATCCATGGGTCAGGGTTGGAAGTGTGTGTGTTGGGGGGAGTAATTAAAGAGGGGAAAAAATAAATAAATAAAAATAAAAGGGCTGTAGACCCCACACCCGGTCTAAAACTTCATTACCCACCCTAGCCCCTTCCTGCTCACTCTCACATCTGCTCCATGGAGAGGCAGAGTGGCTAAATGCATAGCTGGCTTAGGTCCAACACTGGGGTCAGTTACCCAGCTACCTAGGTAAGCTTAGGAAAGTAACTTTTCTCTGGACCTCAGTTCCTTCAGCTGTGAATATTGAGTGAGCACTCACCTGTGCAAAGCACTGTTGTAAGTGTTGTATATTTTAACTCATTTATTTATTCCTTACAACACTGTGGAGTGGAAACTATCATCATCCCCTTTATACAGCTGGGACTATAAATCAGGGAGTCCAGCAGTCATGTCAGTGTTCCTGATCATCAGTTATGTGCCCTCCCTGTGGGGCTGCTATGGGATTAACTGGGCTAATACATGTAAAGTCCTTGGGAAAAAGCCTGGCACATAGAAACTTCAAGAAAGAAAGAAAGAAAGAAAGAAAGAAAGGAAGGAAGGAAGGAAGGAAGGAAGGAAGGAAGGAAGGAAGGAAGGAAGGAAGGAAGGAAGGAAGGAAGGAAGGCCCTTCTCTCTTAAGTCTCTTTTATTTTTCTCCTCCAACACTTGAAGAGTAATAGGTTGGACTGGAGGCAAGATGAAAGGAAGGCCCTGTCACTTTGTAGAAACAAAGAAATCTAAATCCACAGAGATGCACAAAACAAGCCTGGAGGTGGATTCATCAAGGCACAGAGAAGATGGTCTGGCGAGGGCTTAAAGGAAAAGAGGAATTTGGAAACCAAGCCTCCAGGATCACCTCTGGCCACCTGCATCACCTCCAGTTGTGCACTTCCTTGTGCTGTGGCTTCTCTTTCAGTGCTGCTCCTGCCTGGACCCTGGGTCTGTTTAGGGCCATCACCTCTGGCCTAGCCCATTGCCATGTCTGCCTCATGGCTGCTCTCCCTGTGGTCTGCCCTCTTGTCAATTATTCCTTTCTGCCACAGCCACTGGATCCTTCCTAATTATGACGTTCACCTGCTCCAAAACACTGATGCTTCTACCCTCTTATTAAAGCAAGATCTGCAATCCTCAAAGTGGTCTTTGAGGATCCTGGAATTGGGATCCACCTCCCCTCCTGGCTCCATCTCTCCCTCATCTCTCCACTGCATGGTCTGCTGAAATGCCACCCTTTCCCCTCAGCTGCTTCTTCAGCCCACACCTTCCTCTCTAGAACCTAACTCATCCTGCAACTAAAATTCCTCTTCCTCCAGAGGAAGCCCTCTCTGATACAACCCTTCACAATCAATCTCTGTCATTTATGTCTCTCTGTCTTAGTTGATTCAGGCTGCCATAACAAAATACCATACACTGGGTGTTTTGAACAACAGATGTTTATTTTCTCACAGTTCTGGAGGCTGGAAGTCCAAGATTAGGGTGCCGGCAAGACTGTGTTCTGGTAAGGGCTCTCTTCCTGGACTGCAGATGGCCACTTTCTCACTGTGTTATCACATGACTGCTTTTTTTTTTTTTTTTTTGCACACACATGAGGTAGGGTGAGGGGTGGAGCAAGCTCTCTGGTGTCTCTTCTTATAAGGACACTAATCCCATCATATCAGAATCTCACCCTCAGGACCTCACCTAACTTCCAAAGGCTCTGTCTCCAAATGCCATCACATTGGGAGTTAGGGCTTCAATTTGTGACTTTGAGGGGGAACATAAACATTCAGGCCAGAGCACTCCTTAACACTGTTATATATACTTCTTATGTCACATTCATAATATCTATCCCCACAGGATGAGTATGGGGCTCTTTTCCCCTCTGCATCCCTACAGCGCCTAACACAGTGCCTTGTGCATAGAAGATGCTATTAATGATTGTTAAATTTAATTGAATCAAGGCTCATTGCCACGGTTTTTAAAAGCGTCTCTAATATTCATCCCATCCTTCTCTGGCCTTTTTGGCTTGTGTCATACAATGTAATGGAACTCTTAATTTTTCTCTAATTGCTTCATACATGCTTATCTCCTATCCTATGGAAGCACCCTGTTCTGGAGCCATAGAATCTAGTGCAGGGCATGCATGATGTGGACGCTTATATATTCTGGCTTCCTCTTTTCTCTTTTCTCCATTTCTCTCTCTGGAAGAGATCAAGACAAAAGAAATGCTCAGCAGAACTTCTTTCTTCATCCCAGGAGGCCCTGGGTTTTGAAGTAAATATGGCAACTGACCTTCCTCCTTTTCCTTCTCTGGGTCTGTTCATGTCACTTACAGTTACCCAGAGACCCTGGAGACGGGGCAAGTATGAAACGAGGCTGGAAGTTCAAGCACCATTTCCTAGTGATGAACTAAGACTGATGTCACTAGCCAGCCCTCAGAGTGTATAGAGACAAAGGGAATAATTTTCCAAAATATCCTCTAAAATTCAGCTCTCTCGCAGACAGATTAGAACATAGTCTTTTGGAAAATAGTAAGGGTCTTAGTGTTCAGAACTCCAGAGATTTTACTAGACCTGGAGAGACATGACCATTATGTTTTGCTGCTGAGGGTGATGTGACTCTGGAGATGGTGTTTAGATGACACTCCTAAGGTTAGGCAGACCTGATTCATCGGCGATGATACAGCAGGTGGGGAGGGGTGAGGGCTGGCAGCTTCCTAAGTCAGGCTGCCTGACAAGAGGCAGGGCTCACAGGGAGCCAAGCAGCTAAGGAAATTTACTGTGTGTTGTAGCCAGAGAAAGTGGAATTGGACCTGGGCAATAATCAGCCTGATTAGCTCAGTGCCTCCCGGAGAGAGCCAAGGGTGGGAGGCAGTGCGGGGTGGGGGTGGGGGAAGAGGTCAGCCAGCATCAAGGTGGAGCCCCAGAGACTGAGGTCGGCTAAGATCAAAACAACGGGCTCCGAGAAGTCTACAGAGCAGCAGACCCCCCCCAAAACAAGTCCAACACCCTGTCGCCCAACCATGGAAGTTAGAGTGGATCAGAGTGACCAGGCTAAAGTCTGAGAGTGGGGAAACATGAGCATGGGTGGTAGGAAAGCCAGGAGCAAGGGCAAGGATGGTGGGCAGAGCTAGGGTGCTCTTCACTGTGTACTGCCTGAAGGGCAGGCACTGACCAGATTAAAAACTCAAGATTGGCCATCAGCAACCTCCTCTCAGGCCTCTCAGATTCAGCCTCTGCAGGGTGTGCCAGGCATGAGCAGAACTCGCTGGTGCTGATTTTGGTGGTAGGCCACAAGATTCTTACAGGGTGGCTGTAGGAACCCCTGGAGCTCTGGCTTGTGGCATAGAACTGTAGCCTGCTGGTTCTGCCCTCTCCCCACCTTCATTTCTATAGGACTATAATTTTGAATCTTTGGGAAAGAGATAATGCTTGGTGAGGACTGCGTGATTTTGCTTTCTGTGACTGTTACAGGCTGTTGATGGGCCCCTGTTAGGTGGCATCTCCAGACTTCTAAAACCGTCCCGATCACAGTCACAGTTCAACAATTTGCGAGCCCTTGGTATATGCCACACCTGGTGCCAAGCATGCACATGCGTTAATTCATAGCTTCCCAACCTGGGCACTTTAACTCAGTGTGCTCTGAAAGGGTTATAGTCTGCGGAGAGAGGAGACTTCACCCTTCCAATCACAAAGCAGGCTTGCCAGAGGCTAGTGCCCCATCTCAGGGTAACTTCTGGCCTCCAGCATGACCAATGGAATCATTTTTCACATATGCCAGATGAAAAAAGCTTGAAAGCACACT